CATTGGAGACATTTTGGATACTACCAAAGACCTTAAAATGAATAGAAAGAAAGATTATGCGGCTGCAACTCGCGAGCTCGCGCCTTTTCTTGACCCCTGTTCTAACCTGCCGTGAGATCGGACAGTATGAGTGGTAATGATATTTCATATTCAAGCAACCTCGGGGTGGTCAAGCCCGCTCTGCGGCGGCTGTCATCAAGGTGATCCACATGTTCATCAATACCACTGGGTGTTTGACTGGTTCAGTGAATTTACCTTGGGAGTTGTTGAGGCGTTTAAGCGGGGAGATCCCGTAGGTTTTTTATCCATTTCAGAGCGGACGTCGGAACGTTGTTCTAAGAAAGCATTCCAACCTTGCCCAGGCTTGAAGACAGGCATACTGTATCGATAATCTTCATTCTATTCTTCACCTGGAACTCACAGAAGAACTAACTCGTTAGGTGCGCTTTCAGTGGAAACTCATTCCGAAAGCTGCGGGACACCCACACTACTCTCCAGCTAAGGCCCATCAACCATTCATTTGTTTCGGTTATTGCAGCGCTTCCTGATGAGCAAGCGCTTTGAAACTGAACGGAAACTGAAACTGGATGAAGGAGCGCTTGCAGATTTCTTTGCTTCAATAGATATAAACTTTGACAGATAAGGACTTTGAAACTGCAAGAGAAGTGAGAACAGGTCATCTCAGTTGAAGGACCGTACTTTGCGTTCCTTTTGTTAGGAATTTTTGGGGAATTGCTCCCAAAAAGCTAATTTTGTTCAAACTTTTTGGACAGCATACCTAATGGTCACCAAAATCATAAAGAACTTCGCAGCAGCACTTGATACTTGTTTTCAAAGGTCATACAGCGGATGTGATGGGAACATTAGCGATGGGAGGCGGAAAGGGATAACAGCTTCTGAGATCCGATAAGAGGTCTTGAAACAGTGCGTTTCAAACTCAGCTTACATAGCACGTGTCGGAGCAACAGTAGGAGGTTAGTCAGTAGAAAGCAGGTGATAAAGGAGGTAGGATGGGAGCACCAATGATACGTGACGGAAGGAGTAATTATTAGGTTGGCCTATAAGTAATGGCGAAACATTTGTGTAGAAGGTGAGAGTTTTGTGTTGCGGTAAAGAGGGGCGTGGTTATCTGGGAGCGGAGCATGTAATGGGGTAGGCTGTGTGCAATATATGTAGATGCGGTGGGTGCTTCCTGCTAGATAGGGAAAAAAGCCGCTTTGCTGAAGAATCCTAAATAAAAAGCTATGCGAGCATGCTCTATACTGGTTGACACATATTTCTCTGCTCCACAAGATGGTGGACTTGGTTTTTTCTCCTTCACTGAATTTTATTAATTTTTAGCTGTCGTACAGAATACCAAATAAAAAAAAACTATGTGATCATGTTCTATACTGTTTGACACATATATCTCTCCTCCACAAGATGGTGGGCTTGGTTTCCTCTTGTTAATTGAATTTTGTTAATTTTTAGCTGTTCACAGTAGTAAGTCTCGCTGGCACAAATGAGAGCTCTTGACAGTTTTTTGCAGTTGATCTTAACTGAGAAAAATGCAGAAGCAGCTCAGTGATTGTGATTCGGATGAGCGCCTAAGGGTGCCTCTCAAGGATGATTGAAGTCAATGAAAGCGATTAAGGGATGGGAGTTTGGACCTTGTCAGTGTGCACCACATAAGGCGCTCTCTTTTGGTAGCCCTGAAGAGCCCGTTCACCAAGTTTTAGAACTCTATTAAGCAGCAGCTTAAAACGTTGACGACGATATCAGCCAGTGGTGGGCGACGCCAGTCTGTCTCGTGGGACGATGTCAGGCAATGCTGTCTGACAGTATATTGTTCTAATAATAAAGATGTGCAAGCGACCAAGTTTGCCGGAAACTTGCCTCTGAAACGAATATCACAGTCGCTTGGCAGAAATGGTTGGCGCCCGCGCCATAGGCGCCGACGCCAAAATGCCATAAACCACCAAATTCACTCAAAACTTGTCTCCCGGGGTAGTTTGCCTCCCTGAATACGAAATCCTCTCATCACGAAACTGCCTGGCAGTTGCGCCACATAAATCAGCGCCAAAATACTCCTAACCGCTAAATTCGCTCAAAACTTGTCCCTTGAGGTTGTCTTACCCCCTGGGTCAGACTTTTTTCTGGGTTTTTTTTCCTGGGACAAAAGGTGGTATTTCTGTGGAGTGTTTCACCGCTGACCAGTTAAGCCTGAGCTGACCTTCTACGGGCTCTACGTTCAGGGAACTGAGCTATGTTGAGAGCAAGAAGCCCAAAGCGAATGCCTTCTCCATCTTACTATTCGAGACAACGGAAAGGCCAAGGCAATACTGGCGAGCGCTAACACTTTCTTGCCCATGGGCGGACTAAGTCCCCATAGTAGCCGTACAGGCTAGTAGCCATGCAGCTCCTCTAGAAGGAGCGGAGTGATATGGTGAACAGGCTTCATGATGTTGCTACTAATCGCACCATCAATACTTACCATTAGCACCGTCACCTAGTTTCTCGTGGTTAGCCATTTAGACTGTGGCCAAAAGCTCTTTCGCAGCCGTACCACCGATGCTGTGGGCAGCAACCACCCGCCCCCAGCCATCCTGTCTAAAGCCGTGTTTATTCCTTACGGGAAGGACTGACTGACAAAAATTGTAGCGGTGAATGAAATCTCGGATCTATACCACAAGAACCACTTTACTACCAGTGATTGCGCGAACTAATAGAACCTTTCAGCTCCTGCATCCCCATTCATTCACTCCGGAGCCCCCTTCTGTCAGGTATATTCTGTGTCTTGATAACAAGGGGGGAACAGGGGAGCTGGAGTTGAGTGAGGGTTTACCATCGATTTTTGGTCAAATGTATCTTAACTGTTAATGTTACAAGTTTCCTCAACGGCTGTGGAAAAATAAGAATGCTCTATTCAGTCGACTTTAAAATGGAATAAAGATTGGTGGCAAACGTTGCTGCATGGAGTCTGTCCATGGTCGTCAACGCTCAGTGTTTCTTCGAACCTGTAAGAATGACTTTGATGGAAAGTTCGAAAATTTCAGGAAAGACCTAAACAAATGCATCAGGGTTGTCCCAAAAGTTCGTGACACTTTCGAACTTTTTTTTCGAGTTAAGTTTATTCCAGTGAGAAGCAATTTTGATCAACAATATATATGTTACCTTCATCGGCAACTTGTTGCCAACCACCAGGCAAAGAGTGGTTGCCATGCTTCCAGAAGCTTTTTGATTCCGTGCCGAGAAAGGCAGCTGGGTTATTTCTGAGGTACTCTCAAGAATCGTCTAAGTGTGCGCTACACGAAGGGCGTGGTGGAATTTCCCAGCTAAGCTTCTAGTTCTCGAGCAGTGTCATTTTCGAAACGTGTGACCCTGAGCTGTCATTTAGTAGGCAAACACTGCCCGTTGTGCGGACAAAATGGTGAGGATTTTCATCCACCTTGCGCATTTGGATTACAGTAGGGTTTCGCTCGTTGCCCAGCACCCTTATATCAGTTACTACGCTGTTCATCCAGTCCGTATGGCGGAAGCGGGAGAGAAGTTGTGGACGGTACCCACATGCTCTTCCCGTTGAGTATCTGTCAACCTCACGAGGAATATTCTGCCCGACCTCAATACTCGTTGAGCGAGACTCCGTGCCATCTGTGCTTTTGGAACAGTCAAGTGTAAGGACTAGAGCTAGTTGATTTGTGCGAATTGTCTTTAATCAAGGAACACAGTGGTCCAAATCCGAGGCAGGTGGCCTCTCTGGACGAAATTTTCTCCCAGGTAGAAGTCAATCAAGGGAAAGTGATCGTTCCATACACGCCGTACTGTGAAAGATTGTGGAAGGTAGGAGGACCTATCCCAAAGAAATGCAGCTTTTTTGGCTCCAACCACGCTATGCTTGGTGAAGAGTCATGCAGCTAAGTGTGTAGGAAATGATGAATTTCAATTACCGTTTGGATATGAGAACAGCGACTGCGAGGGAATGTAGAGCAAGGCAATGGGATGCCTCACTCAGTAGCACTTTCAGGACACATTACTGTATCTCGAAATGGCTTCGGAAAGATCTGATACGAGATTCACAAATTGTTTTCCCTCCGATGGCGGTCCCTGTCTTGGATTCGCTCTGCAGCGCGTGCTACTTTTCTCCGCTCAAAGTGGAAGGGGATGTGGGGGGCTGTAGTTTAGTGGTACCCAAGTGCCGTCTCCACATTGTCATGTAGGGACAAGGAGTGTGACGGGCGCGTGGCTTGCAGCGCAGCCAGAGCAGAGTTCTCATCGACTGCAGCGGACTCAGAAAATCACCATCGTTGGAACATTAAAGCTTTCTTTGCTACGCTCGTACGTGTTGCATCACACGTTTGCAGGGGACTGTGCTTCGCCCGCTCCATCCTCGGCACTTAGGGTGCAGCAGTTGCGTATTACCAAAGTCTCGCTGCGAAACGCGCATTTAGCGGTAGAGAGCAACCAAAAGTAGGGGGCCCCCCAAGAAGCGTTTGGCTATGGATAGGGATGTGGCCGGCCGTGAAGCACTGCGCGCGCAGTCAGATATAGCACTTCCCTTCAGTCCCGTTCTAGTGAACTTTTGCGCTGAAAAGTTAACACTACTGCAGTTGCGGACCCGTTATCTTCTGAAGAATCAAGAATCAGCATCCGCGGAGGTACGTATAAAGTTTTTTCTTCAAACACATAAGTGAGGCGATAGCTGTCAGGCTAACATCGCAAGCTCTAACGATCACTACTAGAAGAGGAATTAGCTATTTTCGAGTATTACCCGAGTAAAATCTACTAAATCGATTACCTTAGCGGTCCCTGAACGATATTATTCTTCGCTTTTTCTTACCCGAAGTCTTGGTCTTTCCATTGCGAGCTGTCAAGGGCAGCTTGCTATGGTGGACACGATGAACAAGCTGAGGTCGAATGCGAATGCACTGGCCCCGGTAAGGTAGGAAGCGATTGCGAGGCCAGTCATTGAAACTGGCTAGAGCTCTATCCATCGCCGAGAACACCTGCAAGGGTTATGATTGTCACAACTCATTCGGTAGGGAAGGGGCTCTCACAAGGTAGATGGCTACGTGGCATGGCGAAATGTATGTTTCCACCATTATTCTTTTTGTAGGGTGGTAGGGCTTCTCAGACTTCTTTTTTTTTTTTTTTTTTTTTTTTTTTTTTATTTTCTTTATCTCAGCCATGGTTTTGTCTGCACTTTTCAGGATTTTCAGGTACTCTTGGAAGGTGGCTGGTAAAGATTCGAACACTTTGATGATCCGCTGCTCGAGCTGTTTGAAGCTTGCATCACTTTCGGCTCTGAATTTCTTCACCTGCTCCTGGAAAGACAGAAAAGTGTTCTCCTGAAAGATGTGTTGTCACGGTAATGTCAGGTAGAGGGAGCTGGACGTACTGTGCGATTATACTTTTTTGCCCAAGCAGCGATTTTCTCCTGTTCCTGAGCGAGTGTGAGATTTCTGCCATAAATGATGTTACTATACTCACGCTTTTGCCTTTGGGAGTAAAACGCCCCCACATGAATGGCAGACGATAGTTTCTTTGATAAAAAATGTATCTGGAGCTATTGCTTTCGCTGGCAGCGACCGCAGCTGCGACGGCTACGAGCAAGATGAAAGCGGCTTTCATTCTGCAAAACTGTGAGCTTCATTGAGAAATTTTTCTTACACGAGGTAATGAAGCTTAGTTGAATGGGTGTGCGGGAAAGAGAATGCCTTCGAACGAAAACGTCTGGAAGTGATAAAGGTGATGTTGCCCACCGTTCGTTCACAACGGACTTTTATAGAGCTCTTTTTACTTTTATGGAGCCCTTCGATGTCCAAGGTAGAATATTCAATCATATTTATGTGCATATCAATCGTCTTGGCTATAATCGAGCAGCCCGTTTAGCGCTACAGAATTTAATTCGAATACCGATCACTTCGCTTCCCCCCTCTTGAAACTTCAAATATAGTTCCTCTCTATGCTTGTGGTTGTTTTCGTTTCAGTTATCAAACGGCACTGTTCACGGCGGACAGGGATGACATTTTTCCTGTTCCCTGCTTCATTGCCTCGGCGTTTACCAAATCATCACTCTGGAGAAAGCGCTGATACAGTTCTTGCGAAGGCTGCAACGAAAATCGTTAAATAATAGCCAAAAATCTGTCGGGCTTAATGTAAGCCTAGCATATTGAAATGGCTCTCTGGATGGGTCGACCCGTCGATGGGAGGAAGCAAAGAAGCAAAATGCCCACCCCCCAGTTGCCGAACTGCCCCATCAAAAGCTACTTTGGGGTCTTCAGTCCTTAAATAGGTGGTAAAAAAGACGAGCACCATCAGAAGCGCAGTCAGTTTTCCTCATGCGCTCTGAAAAAATTATTTTTGTAAAAACATGAACCAAAAAATTTTACAATTTTGGAGAATTCTTGAGCTATGTGCCACCACTTCTGGTGCAGGCCACAACTCGCTTCTTTATAGTTTCGACGTGTAGTGTTTGACGAGGACGAGCGTGTTGTATACCCCCCATAGATTTGAAAGTTATGGGGGTCGCTAGAACTGCAGAACGGCTGCGCGGGGAAGTTGTCGCTACAACTAATATAACAAGCAGAGCAAGTTAGAAGAATTTCAAATGGTGCTTCAATTTTTCTACATTCACGTGCGAGGTTGTTCTCTTCATTACCTCACAGTTGTATAGATGCAGCACCATATGATACAGTACGACATTGAGTACGCCTCATTTTTTCTAAGTCGTCTTGATCGCTCCCTGATGCTTTGGCGTGCTTGCCGCTGCGCATACCTTTTCCAGTGACTCTTACCACTTGCCCTTTTCAGCAATTGGCGGAGAGCAAGCTGGTGAACTCAAATTCAACTATGTACCTCCCCTATGATGTTTCCAACATCCCGGCTAACCAACGATAAGTCCAAGTCACTAATAGTATCTTGAACGTGTGAAGCGTGGCTCATACTGTGTGCTGGGTATCACTGACACCTCCTCTTCTCGTGCAACTGCATATTCACTTGCTTTTCAAATAATAATATGTATTAATGCCTTTGTTGAGATGAATCTTTCGGAGCCTCACGTTGACCTTTGAAGGTTGTACAGCCCTGCAGAATCATTTTTCCACTTCACTGACAACGACAGTGGCTAAGATGGGGTATGTTTGAAGTAATACAGCCAGTTTCTGAACGATTTGATGTTTATCCTCTCCTAAGGTCCACTGTTTCAAATGGAAGCTATCGGCAGGGATTTCAGCGGTATCAAGAGGGTATCTTTGCTCCGGAACGACGCATTGGGGGGGGGGGTATTGTCGAGGGACCCCGAACGAAACCTCCTCATAAAGTTCTTTTTGCCTGCCCTACTTTTCCGAATAGGTGAGCGGGGCATTCCTATCAAACTTGCATAGATAGGATTTGTAGGACATCAGGATGTGGACATACCCCCGGGTAACATGAAACAACACCAAGTTCGTAACCGGTTTTGTGACAACTTTGTGTACCCCGACTGTGTTGTTTGTCCCTTCGGCAGGCATGGCTACTGAATGAAGTCAGCATTTCTCGTTACACTGCCAGAACTGCAGCAGTGACTTCGCTCCCTGTCCCTGAAACGGAGTGGGCGTGGCATTTGAATATGGCATAGTATGCTCGTGAGATTTCACTTTGAGACAACTGACTTCTTGTCCCGTGTTAGACAGAGAAAGGACCACGACTGTGTCAGAATGAAAAGATCTCTCTAAAAACACAGCTCCTGCCACGTTTAGCTGAAGAACGCAGCCACGCCTACCACGTCTCAAGGATTCCGAGTGTAAAGTAGGTTAAACAAGACAACCCTTCGTGCGCGGTGTGAGGAACAGGCTCAGTAGGTCTAGAGTCCGGACCCTGCTCGAGTGAACATCATGGATGCACGTCATTTGACGTGTCTGTGGATCATCTTTTGGATCACTAACAAGGACCTTGAAATGACCAAGGGCGCTTTTTCTCGACCACTGTTTTTGGGGTATGTGACAAGAGGATCGTAATTTGCCGCGCTGCTGGGCGTCGCGTGCGACGTCCCGCCCGCAAAGGACGATGGTTTCAGGCAGTAGATGGCGACAACATGCAATTAAGGACCGAAAACAGTAATGAGTGTCTACGATGACGGGGTCTACATGAAGTCCGGTGCTTCATTCGACAGGTTAAAACGAGTTATGAAAACGCCGCGCCCATCGCCGCGCGTGGCGGTGCGGCGAATTACGATCCTCTTTACCGTCTCCCCTGTTTCTGACCTGCCGTGAGATCGGACAGTGTAAGTGGTATTGATACTTCACAATCAAGAAAACCTCAGGGTGGTCGAGTCCGCATTGTGGCCTGATATCAAATTATCCATGTCTATCGAGACCACTAGGTCTTTTACTGGTTTAGCGGAATTGTTAAAGCGTTTGAGCGGGCAGCCCATATGTTTTTTTGTCCACTTCAGGCTCTCGAACGGACGCCGAATCATTGACCAAATAAAGCATTCCAACCTTGCCAAGGCTTGAAGACACATATCGATAATCTCCATGCCAAGATTGCAGGAAATTTGAACATGAACTTTCTATTCTTTTTTGAAT